CTCTTGCCTGCACTAGTCTGGAAAGGGGTCCTGACTGGGCTTTGGGATGAGGGTAGAAGGGGTAGACTGGAGTTGGCAGGCTTCCTGCTGGGAATAGAGAGGGATGCGATGTAGTCGGAGAAACGTGGCTGGGAATAAAGTGGCCAGAAGAAACACCAGAGGGTTGGACAATGGGGCTTATTAACGGACAGTGTCAGGTTGCAAGTTACAGAAAATCCAACTAGAACTGCCTTTAAAAAATTAATTTTGGCCTGGCGTGGTGGTTCGCACCTGTAATCCCAGCACTTTGGGAGGCCAAGGTGATCAGATCACCTGAGGTCAAGATGAGACCAGCTTGGCCAACATGGTGAAACCCTATCTGTACTAAAAAGACAAACATTAGCCAGGCGTGGTGGCGCACACCTGTAATCCCAGCTATTTGGGAGGCTGAGGCAAGAGAATTGCTTGAACTCGGGAGATGGAGGTTGCAGTGAACCAAGATTGCACCACTGCCCTCCAGCCTGGGCAACAGAGCGAGACTTTGTCTCAAAAAAAAAAAAAAAGTGCACTTCTTGATATTTATGGATATGTGCAATAAGCACTAGAAGTAAGTGTAACTTCCGATGAAGCTTGATCAGCAGTTCAGTGACATCAGCAACCCATTCTGTCATCCCTCTGCCTTGATCATGGTGGTCTCTTAGGTCATTTCTAGCTTGGCTTCCCTACAGATTACATAATGGTGCCTATAGTTTGCAGGGCTCTGTGGTTTTCATTCATGTCCAGCAGGACAATGAGCAACTTTCATTGTTCTCAGTAAAAACCCTAACATTCCATGCTATTTGCATGAACTTAGGTTTTAAGCCTATTCCTAAAATTTCACTATGGCCAGAGGCAATGGGGGTAACGATTGGCTTAGCCTTAGTCCCTATGTTTTATTCTAGAACTGGGACCCGTAGCATCTCATGGGTCTTCAGAATCCTACCTAGTGGGACTGGCTGCCTCTAGGGCTCCCCCAACTGTTCGAGTTCTGAGCTTTCTTGGTCCCCATAAGGCAATGGAGCAGAGTGCAGGGCTAGCTGAGGTCTGCCAGTTAGGTTGAGCCTCATTTTGATGTGGAAGGACATGCTTATTTCAGCTCCTCTAAGAAACCCATATGGCCATCTTTGCACATGTCCTTGGCATGAGTCCTGTTACAGGAGGAGTAATTTGGCTCAGATTTGTGGGTTTGTTTTCATTGGTTTTTACTAATAGTTTTCATAGCATCTGCTTCCTAACACCTTCTGGTGTTTGTATATCATCAGAGCTAGTTTTAGGAATAGGTGGAGTATGGTCTTTATGCACTTTAAGAAATAAAGCTGGGCATGGATTTGGGAGCTTGGCAGACTTTTAGGCCCACTTCCAGCTGTTTATGTAAGTCCTTCTATGACTCCGGGCATCCTTTTTTTTCATCTGAAAAATAGGTGCCTTGGATACCTGCCCCACAGGGTTGTCATGAGACTGGAGAAAGATGTTGTCCATGGAGAATCCCCTGATTCAAGTCATGTCAAGCTCAGTGGTCTGCTCTTCAGGGAAGCCTTACTCTCCACCCCCCAAAGTAGCCCATGGCCACCCTGCACACTCTTTATCATGTCACACATTTATTCATGCCATTTCATCTAAAATCATTTCATTTCATGTCCATTTCCTCTTGTTAGAATATGAAGTTTATGAAAGCAGGACATGTGTCTCTCTTATTCATCATTAGTTACTGTTGTGAGCAACTGGGGCTCAGTCCCCACAGGGAAGTCTAGGAGATGATATAGAAGAGACCTCAAAGTTCTTACTACTGAGAGGGATCTGGGGTATTTGTCCACCAACTCTCATCATTCATTGGTCAAGGACTTCTCCTAGGAGGTGTTGATGACTCGATTCTTTGATCTGACATATCCACAGCAGAATGGGCCTATGTCTTAGTTGACTTGTGTAGATAAGGAGTACCCAAGGCCAAGTACTTTACAAAGAAAAAAAGACTCATTTGGCTCATGTTTCTGGTGGCTGGAAAGTTCAACTGGGCATCTGCATCTGGGGAGGGCTTCAGGCCGCTTCCACTTGTAGAGGAAGGTGAAAGGGAGCTGGGTATGCGGAGATCACACGGTGAGAGAGGAAGTGAGGGGTGGTGGCGTCAGGCTCTTTACCAGCCACCTCTTGAAGGAATTAACAGGGTAAGAACTCACTCAGCCCTGAGGGAGGGCCTTCATCTAGTCCTGGGGGATCTGCCCCCATGACCCAAACACCTTCTCTTAGGCCCTACTTCCAGCAATGGAGATCAAATGTCAACGTGAGGCTTAGAGAGTCAAATACCTAAAATGTGGCGAGCGGGCTGTCATGGACAGATCCTGTGATTGTTAGAGCTGTAGACAAAATCTCTTGGGTGACTGCAGTTGGCAGCACTTGAGTCTACCTGCATGGTGATGGTGGGCGCCAAGGGGATCGGGCAAAGTGGCCGCAGCACCTGCTGCACAGTTGAGTCCCCATCAGCAGGCGTGATGGTAAGAATTTGTTGGATGGTTCAAAATGAGCAGGGTCCCTCCAGGAACACAAGTTAGAGATGAGGCCAATGCCCTCTCATTGCTGCAACATGTCCTTTCCCCGCTGCCCATCAGGGCAATCATCTCCCTTCCTGTTGTTTATCCATCGGAAGACTAGTTTTAAAACTTCCCTCCACATGCATTCTCTCTGAATATCCCAGCTGCTGATTTTCCTCTCAGTGTTAAGTGCCAGGACTGATGCAGGTGAATTACTCATGGTCTGGTTAGCACAGGGAGAGGGGTACCAGTCCTTCCTCTATTCTAGAGCAGGGGTTTGCAGTCCTAGGTGTACATTGGAATCACCTGGTGAGCCTTTAAAGCGCACTGATGAGAGTTGTCTCACCAGGGCTCCACTTCCAGATGCTCTGAGGCAATTCATTTGGGATAAGGCACAGGCATTTGGCACTTCAAAAAAAATTCTCCTTCTCTGCTCCCTGGGTGATTCTGACATGCAGGCAGCGGGGAAGGGAACCACTGATCTAGACCTTACATAGGCACCTGACACAGGCTCCTGAAGAGGTCAGAGGTATGTCTAGCTTCAGAAGCAGCTGATCTAGCAGATAAATGATGTCATCAAGGGCTCAGTTTCTGCTTGCTTCGTTGTTTTTTTTCTTCTCTCTGTCTTGCCTTATGTGATGTCTGTCTTATTAAATCTCTGATTATTAGATAAACTCTCATAATTCCTAAATAGTTACCAGCAGGTCCTAGGGCTATGTGCATTCTCATTCATGTCTGGTAAAGGAGAATATCTTTGTCTCATTATTCCTGGCACAAATTTGGAGATTCATGCCATTTGAACTAGTGTGGGTCTTAAGCCTATCCCTGAATTGATCCTTGTGGCTGGGGGATGGTTCAGACCATGCACTTCACGCCCAGCTCTAGATGTGTCCGTTCCCCACTTAGCCCTGTGTGCCCAATACACTCACCTGGGTGGCTTCTAAAGAATTCTGATGCTGAGGTCCCCCCTTCAGGGATGTTCCTTCAATTGGTCTGCCATGGCAGTCAGGCGCTAGCATTTTTCAAAGTTCCCAGGTGATTCTGATGTGCAGCCAGGGCAGAGAACACTGGCATAGACATCATACAGCCTCAAGACGCAGGTTAAGACCCCATATGGGAAGAATCTCGAGGACAGATCTCCTGGGTCTAAGTGGATGCCTTGCTGGGGACCAGTCACATGCCCAAAAGCCTTAGGGGACCACCTGGCTACATGCAGGAAGCCCAGAGGAACAGATCTGAACTGTCCAACAAACCTCATCATCGCACCTACAATTTCCAACCATGAGAGGCAGCAGCCAATGGCCATCTGAGTGGGATGTGCCATGAATGCAGGAGGTTTGGTGGCCTGCCCCTACCAGTGACCATGGCTGCTGAGATATTCCCCTTTTCTACATCTGTTTCCCCATCTGTTACACAGGCTCAGAGGATACTGATGCCTCTCTGAACTGACTTCAGAAGAAAGAGATTTGTGGGAAGTATCCTCATACTTGGGGTGAGGCAGGATCCCCTTGTAGGAAGGGTCTATGATAGAGGGAGAAGAGTTTAGTCTCCCTGTGGAGTCTCTGTTGGCCGTGCTGTCTTACGCAGGTCCTCCTTACCTCTCTGAGTTTCAGCAACCTCATCGGTATAACCAGGACTCTAACCATCTGGAATGCTTCACATGAGTATAAATAAGATAATGTATATAAAGCCCCTAGTGCAGCACCTGGCACGAAATTGGGGTTCAGTAAATTGCTTTCTTTCCAATAATGCTACTGTTAGCTTCTGATCTTTTAAATGTGATGTCAAATGGTGAAACCAAGACCCACAGTGTTCAATGTGAGTAATCATTTGCTGGTTATAGGCTGAAACCACTTGATCATCCTTGAAACCCTAAAATCTCTCAGCAGGAGGCCCTGCCATCCTCTTCATCTCTGCACACTCGCCCACACCACAGGGGCTCCAGACTTTCCATATCAGAGGATCTTATAGGTGGCAATCTTTTTGGAAGCAAGGTGTTGAGAAGGGTCTTGTCTTGAAGTTGCATTTGCATTTGGTTACAGTATTTGCATTTGGATTGTATGTTTGCTGGGGATGACCTGGGGACTGGGGAGGATGAAGTCACTGCCTGGCACAGACCTGGCACAACATAAGTACAGTTGACTCTCCAACAACACTAGTTTAAATGGCATGGGTCCACTCGCATGCAGACTGTTTTCAACCAAATATGATAGAAAATGCAGTATTTATAGGATGTGAAACCTGCATATATGGAGGCCCAATTTTTTTGTAAACACGGGTTCCTCAGGGCTGACTGTGGGAATTGAGTATCTACAGATTTTGCTTTGGGGAGTCTTGGAACCAGTCCCTCACACATATGTAGGGACAACAGCACTAATTACTGGATGTTAAATGAATGTTCTAGCCTTCCCTTTTCACAGCTTACCTCTCCTACCTAACGGAGTCATGAAGAAGTGATTGACCATGTAAGAAATAGTTCTGTTTATTGGTTAGAACATGGTATAAAATTACAGCAATTTGCAGGCATTCTGGGCTTCTTGGGAGGGACATGCAGCGCTGGGCTCAAGCAGGGGATGGGGTGGAGATATGGACCACTGGGCAATGGCTCCCTTCCTGGACATGTTAAAGGACTTGCACTACCAGCACAAATGCTAGTGTGAGAGAATTATTGGTCTTTGTTTCTGGAAACAAATGACATGGGCAGTTTGGGTCATCAGACAGTGCCATGCTTAATAGTTCAGTCCTATCCCACATATGTTAGGTGCTGGCTCTCCCAATCTGGTCATGACAGATCCTAATTGTTGTGGATAACTCTCATTCTTCCCACCAAAGGAAGAGACACAGGCACATTGGTTTGGGAGGCCATCAGAGGATGGTGTGCATCTGGCTCAGGTCCTCTTCCTTCCAGATTCACCAAGGTCTGCTTGACTTGGAGGCAGTGGGCTGGGGGCACATAAGCAGAATATTGTGCACTACTGTTTAAGCTCAAGCAGAGGGACCTTCTGTAGGGCAGCAGTGTGAAGAGATGAGCATGCTTCCAAAACAAACTCAAATTTCATCTTGTCTCTCTCAAGAAGAGAAAGGAGGAAGAGTTGGCAATCAGAGACCGAGCCACATGATGCTGGGTTCCATAGAAAGTCTTCAGCAGAGAATTCTTCCAAAGTGTAAAAGGTGTTTCTGTCCCAAGAGTTGGAGTGTAAAGTCAGAACGAGGGCAGATCAGGGTGTTAAGGTGGTTGTTTAGTACAATGTCTCTGAGAGCTGAATGGCTGAGTGTCACCAGTTACATGACATTTTGAAACAGCTGGAGAGATCTCATGATGTTGTCATCCTGGGAAAGGAGGAGGGGAAGAGGATGGTTAGAACTCTGAGACTCCTCCCTGAGAGCTCTGTAACTCTGGTTAACAAATCTCAAGCATGGGTTTCCTGTATGGAGAAAACTACAAGGGTATGAAAAATAAGACCTAAGGGTGGGAACCTAGGAAGTAATCAGCTCAAAGTAAGAAGCACCACCTGTAGGCTTACAGAAGAATTCAGAAGAAAGAAATCATCTAGTAAAACACTGAGTTGCTTAAGAAGCTCTGAACAACTGCATTTCATAAAATTATTTTTATACATCCACTGAGAGGATTATATTTTTCTCTCTTTATTCTATTAATGTGATAAATCACACTGATCAATTATTGAATTAACCAACCTTGCATTCCTGGAATACTGCTTTCAATCCTACAAATTTTGATATGTCATATTTTCATTTTATTTTAATTCAAGATATTTTCTTATCTGAACCATAAATTAGAAGTTTATTGCTTACTACCCAACATTTGAGAATTTTTCTACATTCAATACTATAACTCAGAGAAGATATAATAGAAAAATGTAAAATACAGAACATGCAATACAGACATACAATAAGAAAACCCCCCAAAGCTCTCTCAAAAATAAATCAATAAAGTAGATAAATGCTTATTAAGACTGCTTTTCAGATTATCAATATCAGAAATGAGAAGGTTAATGTCAGTATAGGTTTATTTGGCTCAGTATTCTGGTGGCTGGAAAGTTCAGCCAGGCATCTCCATCTGGTGCATGTTTCAGGCTGCTTCCACTCACAGTGGAAAGTGAAGGGAAGCTGGGTGTGCAGAGATCCCATGGTGAGAGAGGAAGCGAGGTTGGGGTGGGGAAGGTGCTAGGCTGTTTTACAACCAGCTCTCGAGGGAATTAACAGAGTGAGAACTCACCCCCAAGAGAGTCAGCGTTCATTCCATTCTAGCTGTTAAATATCTTGGGTATCACCCTGTATATAGGACATCTACATAACAGGGCAGCTGTGATGTTTGTGTATGTGCTTGAAACTCAGTAGGGGCTCAGTGCGTGCTAGCAACTTCTCCCCTGCTTTCTTACGTTTGCTAGTCTTCTTGGCTGCAGCTCAGAGTAACTGTACATTTCTAAAATAATGTGGGGGTACAAATGCATTTCCCAAAAGTAGATGAAGCAATTATTTCCAGTTCAGTCTCTACTAGTGACTCTGGGGCCAGTTTATTAGTTAGACTTAATGAAAGTTGTGTTCTCAGGACCAGCATCACCAGTGTGACTGAGGAGAATGTGAGAAAAGTAACATCTCAGGCCCCACCCCAGACCTATGGAATTAGAATCTGCATTTTAATAAGACCTTCTCAAGGTTATTGTCTCATACATTAAAGTTTTAGAAGCACTGGCCTAGGGCCTTTGTGTTAAAGTGACCCAGATCTATAGTCTCTGAGATTGAGGCCTAGAAGTATACATTTTCAGAATCATTCCAGGCAATTTTTAAGTACACTCTGGTTTGAGAATCACACAATTGTAGATCTTTTCCCCCTGGCTCCTCCCTTGCAGTCTGGGGAATGAGGCAACAAGCCAGAGGCAGGCTAAAACATAATGGTGTTGCCTTTTTGGGAAGTCAATCTTCAGAGAGACCCCCTCTGAGTTTTCACGTTCCCACGGACTCCTACTTAGGGTCTCCATTCAGTCCTGTGCTTAGCCAAGACCAACCACAGGCCAGGCTGAGGAGTGGAACCACAGTTGTTGCTGATGTCATTGGCTCTGATGGGAGGGGTTGCAGGTATGTGCAGGTTTCTCATCACCTTCCTTTGGCAGGTCCCCAAGCCCCAGATTTCCTTTCCCAGATGTAGAATTATTGTGACCTGAGATCTCTCCTTACCTCCTGACATGATTCAAGAAATTCATCTAAAGTTACGATGCCATCTTTATTTTTATCCATTTTCTGAAAGACATAACAGAAAGCACTTTATGGAATCTGGTGATCTTCCTTCCAAAGCTTGCTCCCCTGCTTTCTTGCTGGAGCTCATTTCATTAACCAACTTTGCCTTGAGAGTGAGAGTTGTCTTTCACTGGCCAGACAATTCCAATTACGCCCTAATTACAACACTTTGACCCCATGAGCTTCCTTAAATCGAAAGACTTGCTCTGGACACTCATCACCTCACTGCTGGCTTATTCTGCGTCTTCTGTAGACTCCCTACCACTCTGTCCATCTGGCAGAACACTGGGTACAAGAAGTTCTGATTCTAGCCTTTACTTGTCATATAAACTTGCTCAAGGCCAGAAAGGACTCTCTTTTCCTATCTGAAAAGTGGGAGGTTGGACTAGAATGAGCTCTGATACTCTCTGATACTCCACTGCTAGATTAATTTTTTCCTAAAATGCCCCAATGATCACAGCACTCCCCTAGTCAAGGATCAGCAGTAGCTGCCCCCCCTGTACCAGAGCAAGGCTAAACTCTTCCATTTAAAGGTCTCACAATCCGGCCCTATCCTAGTTTCCAATCTTATTTCCCATTACTGCCCAGACACAAATGCTTAACACCTCCACAAATGTAATGAATGAAGTCTTCCATGTTTACTCTGATTCCCCAATTTTTATGGATTTAGAGTTCATCCTATACCGCTAACATTTAATGATATACTTTCTTGTTCTCTTCTGTTGTGTACACTTGCAGCTTAAGGAGATCATCTGTTTCTTGAGGACAATGTATCTTATAATTCTTTTCTGTTTCCAGCCATGCTTAGTACAGAGTTGGACACAAATCACTTGCTTAGATGCTTGTGGGATGACTTCATCTAGGCTGGGCTTACAGCTCATGTGCAGGGTGTGTGCTCTTACCTGGAAGAAGACGTCCACGTGCTGCCTGGGAGTGTCCTCTTTGAGCACGGGATATGTGTATTTCCCCATCATGTCATAGATTGCTTTGACAATGTCCATCATCTCCTGGAGCGGGGACATAGAAGCACACAGTGTGGGAAAGATGAGGTCAAGCTTTTTCTAGGTGACAGTGTTTGGAGCTCCTTATGCCCCTTGCCAATGAAAGTGATTAAAAGGTGAGGTCTTTAGTAGGTGATAGGGAGTTAGATGGTAGATAATTCGTAAAGCCCTCAGAAGTTCATGGGGAGGTTACTTTGTTATGGGCATTGTCTTTAGTGAGGGGTGATGTGTGGGATCCCCATTCACAGACAGGAGGCAAATAAAATATTATTCTGAATTTTAAAAAAGTTAATGTTCTAGCCCAGAGATTAAAAAATTCCCCTAGGGTCTGCCACTGTTTTAAGTTAAGGAAAATGAACCAACAGCTAAGAATATCCACAGGGCACATGAGGCCAATAGTTCCACAGGCTGAGGCCCTTACTAAAAAGGTCAGTTCTCAAGTCCACCCCAAACCTATTGAATTAGAACTTAGGACTAGGTCCTGGGAGTTTCCATGTCTATCAAGGTACGTTAGGAACCATTATTCTGATCATTCTGGTCGAAGTCGGAATGGGGATAAAAGAGTGTTTGGGCTGTTTGATGTGGTTTCTACAGAGACTCAGGAGATAGTCTTATTCCATATGCTTATTTTTTGTTGTTGTTGTTTAATTTTCACCTATTATTAATAATTTTAGACTTACAGAAAAGTTACAAAATAGTATACAGTTCATAATACCTTTCACCCAGTTTCCTCTCATGTTACTAACCTGCATAACCAGAGCACAATGATCAAATCTAGGAAATTAACATGTCACATTATTATTAACTAAACTACAGGGCTTATTCAAATTTTATCAGCTTTTCAACTGTCTTTTTTCCTTTCAATGATTCTACATTGCATTTATTTGTTGTGTCTCCTTAGTCTCTTCTAATCTGCATGAGTTTCTCATTCTTTTTTTTTTTGAGACAGGGTCTTGCTCTGTCACCCATGCTGGAGTGCAGTGGCACAATCACGGCTCACTGCAGCCTCAACCTCCTGGGTTCAAGTGATCCTCCCATCTCAGTGTCTCAAGTAGCTGGGACTACAGGCACATACCACCATGCCTGGCTAATTTTTGTAGAGATGGGGTTTTGCCATGTTGCCCAGGCTGGTCTCAAACTCCTGGACTCAAGTGATCTTCCTGCCTTTGCGTCCCAAAGTGCTGGGATTATAGGCATGAGCCACCATTCCCAGCCTGAGTTTCTTTCTTTCCTTGTCTTTCAGGATCTCACACTTTTGATATGAGTATAGGTCAGTTGTTTTCTGAAATGTCTCTCAATTTGAGCTACTCCCTGGTTTACTTATGATTAGTTTGAAGTTATGCATTTTTGGCAAGAATACCACAGAAGTGATGTTATAACCTTCTCAATGCATCGTATCAGGGAGTTACATAGCGTTGAGATGTCTTATTATTGATAATGTTGACTTTGATCACTCGCTTAAGATGGTATCTGTGAAGTTTCCTTACTGATTTAGTATCTTTCAGTGGATCTTGCCTGCAAAAATTATTACTGTAGTGTTTGCCTAACAGCAATTTTGTATTTCCTTTATTCCTTCTATATTTATTAATTAAAATTCTTCTGTAAGGAAGAGCTGCCCTCTCTCCTGCATTTATTTATGTATTTAGTCATTTATTTACATTAACATGGACTCATGGACATTCACCATATTTTACAGGTTATAATCCAATACTTAATAATTTTTAATTTTGCTCAAATTGCTCTCATTCTGGCTATTGTGAGCTCCTTCAGGTTGACTCCTGCAGTTTTCTTTTATTTTTTAGCACTTTCATATCTTCCAGCATGATAAAGTACTCCAGGCTCATCTTATATTTACTTTTCCCCAATCTTGGAATCAACTATTCTCCAAGAAGACTGGCTTTTTTGATTGAAGAATGGTATTTAGAAATCAAGGTCTAGGTGCTAGGTATGCTTACTGCTACAGGGATGTGATTGCTCTGAGGTGCCCTCAACAGATAGAACCAGGAAATATATGTCTTTATCCATGTATTTATTTTAAAATGTGTGCTTTACAAGCCCTTCACATTTACATGGCCATTGATGCTTTTTCTGTCTGATTTTTTCCCCATAATCACAGAAAGGACTCAAAGAGCAATTATGTTGCTCTCTCAGGATTTTCACTGCCTACAACTTGGATAAGACTATCTCCAAATGATTGCCAGGAGAAGAGCCTGCTATCTTTTCTAAGAAGCTACTTATCCACACTTTCTTTTTCTTTTAAGGGATACTTTATTAATTCTGCCCTCCAGGGAGGTCTGATGGATTAATGGGGACAATTCTGTCCAGTTTGTGGATTACAAAAAGGGAGCAGGAGCTAGTAAGGTTATTCAGTGATGAAATAGTGAGTGAACCAAAGTTTAAGACCACGTAGTATAAATCCCCTTTCTACATTTTTTTCTTTATATATTTTTGCAAGGTAGTATTTGAAGACTTTAGAGGATCATATATTTGCATGCGTATGCAAGCATTTAGTTGTTTATAAAATTGAGATATCACACATACTACTTTATTAAGTGATTTTAAAATGTAATGTATCATACTAATGTTTATTTTACAGTACTCTTTCATGATTTTAAGTGGCCACCTGCTATTCCATTATATGTATTTACTGGAATTCATTTTATAAATCTGCTATTAGTTGGTATTATGGTTGTCACATTTTGGGGGACTATTACCTGAAGACTCTTCTTGCTTTTAAGTCTTTGTGTCTATTTTTTATTTCCTTGGGACATATACCAAGATGTGGTTTATAAGGAGAATGGGATGCATAACTTTCAATGCTTTTGATACATATTCCTCAAATACCTTTTAGAAAGTTTGTATCAGAACACTCTCAGCAACTATGTATGAAAAACCACTTTTACCAACCTTCAACAAAGATTTTTACAAAATCTTTCCAATGTAATAGATAAGCGATAATTCATTGTTTTTAAAGATATACATTACTTTCTTAGTGAGGTTTCTGATATATGTGTTGACTATTTTTATTTATTTTCTCATGAACTATTTGTTCCTCTGCTTTGTTCATTGTGTTCATCTATTTCTGACTGGATCGTGAGAGCTCTTTATATATTTGGGTAGATTTATGGAATTGTTAAAATCTCTTAATAGATTTTAAATTTATGTAAAAGATATTTTAATGCATCTGCCATGTGCTAGATATTGTGTCAAAGAAATACAAAGATAAGCATGGTAAATATGACGCTTGGCTTTGTTAAAATGATTGCCTACTGAGGAATGTCAATCCTTTCTGTTTTCATAAGTTGCAGATATTTTTTACCAAGTTTGTCACTTGCTTTTCAATTTTGTTTATATTTTTTGATATACAGAATTTTAAAATATTTACAGTATAAAGCCATCAATAATTAAAAAAATTATTTCTTTGATTTTATGCTTTGCCCATTTTATGATCAGATATTTACATAAGACTTTTAGTTATTTTTTAGTTAAAAATCAACTATATATATTTATAGTGACTTTGGATTTATAGTACTAAGTAAGAACATTTACTTACCTATTGCCAAAATAGCTAACCAGTTTTCCCAGAATCATTTAATTATTAATTACCTATCTGATCTCTATTCAATATGTTCCCTTTATTATAAACCAAGATGTTATTTGTACCTGGGCTTTCTAGTCTGTTCCATTGATCTACCTGTTCTTTCTCTGATATTATAATATTTTAATAGTTTCAGCCTTATTATATATTTCAGTATCTGGTAGAACAAATCCCATTTGTCTCCTTTTTGAAAATTATCTTTGCTATTCTTATCTGATTAATCTTCCAATGTAACTTTATAACAACTGTGCCACATACCCTCCCCAAATAACACTTTCATTTTGATTCAAAATGAAATAAATTTAATTAGAGAAGAATTGCTATCATTACAATATTGCTATCTTTATATATATACTCTTTCATGGTATGTTTCTCTACTTACCAAATTTTTCTTTCTCTTCATCTAAATTATGGATATTTTAAAATGCTCATGTGCCTTAAATTTTATCGTGATTACAATTAGAATATTTTTGTTACAATTTTCTAGCTAGTCACAACTGATATATTGGCTATGCCATTTCTTTTTGTGTATGTATTTTATTACCAGTCATTTTGCCACCTTTTTATAAGTTCTAATTGTTTTAAATGGATTTTCTTGCTGTCTTTTTTTCTCAGGTAGAAAATCATGTCTTTAATAAGGAATGTTGTAATTTTTCATGTTTAGATCTCATTTCTTCTTCTGTTTCACTGTATTTGAAGAACTTCAGGAAATGTTAAATGGTGGTGATATTTGACAGTATGCACTCTTGCCTCATCTTCCCTTCAGTGAGAATCTCTGCATCTTACCATGAAGTATGAAGCTGTGTACTAGGATGGGGTATTTTCCATTATGCTGAAGAAGTATTTTATTCCTAATTAACTGAATCTTGAAAATTGTTATGAATAAATGGTAAATTATATCAAATGTGATTTTAGCATCAAATGGTTTAGTCTTTTGATATATTAATATGATGAATTATTTAACAGACTTTCTCTACTGTTGGACTATTCCTGCATTCCTGGAATAAATCTTGTCTTAGTCATGTGCTTTTCTTTATTTTATTTTATTTTATTTTTTGAGGAAGAGTCTTGCTCTGTTGTCCAGGCTGGAGTGCAGTGGAGCGATCACAGATGGTGGTAGTCTTGAACTCCTGGGCTCAAGCTATCCTCCTGCTTCAGCCTCTGGAGTAGCTGGGAGCACAGGCATGTGCCACTATACCCAGGTAATTTTTAAATTTTTCTTTTGAAGAGACAGGCTCTCTCTATGTTGACCAGGCTGGTCTTGAACTCCTGTGGTCAACCCATCCTCCTGCCTCAGTCTCCCAAAGTGTTGGAATTACAGGTAAGAGCCTTTAAACAGAGGACTGGGATTAACTTCCTAGTATCTCATTAAAGATATGTGATCTGTAGTTTGAATGAGATTGGGTTC